GTTCGCATTTCATAATAATCAATATATTATGAAACAGGAAAAAGCAAATTAAGTCACACTTATGGAAATGGTCTCAAATTGAACTGTTTCCTGAAAATCATGTATGTTACATGTTTTCAGGTCGACTTAACGTTGACAGATGTCAAGCGATTCACTTTTGAAATTCGTTATTTGCGTGTGAAAGATTTTACGAATATAGAGGAAATGACGCAGATATTTTTACGTTTAATAACATTACATTATTAAATTTTCCTTTACTAAATATACACGTACGGTCTTCTTGTACACATTTTCTTTTAACGGTTCTTTTGTCCTAGAATAAAAACATTATAAATATGGAATTCTGAAAAGTAAACGCAGATGTTTGAAATAAATTTGGTTCACTTGGCCAATCGTCACGCCGTCGTGATTAAACTGGTAACTTATACAAATAAACAGAAAGTTCAATATTCCGGAAACGGATTCGCGATTTGACTGTAATGGTAAGTCAGATAAATCAGTTGATTCCTGTCCTACCTGTATAAAATCTAATGATTTACACGCCCGGGTACCACGGATGTTTAGATATATAATTACGACAGAAAACGTAGATTCTTTTCTTTTTTATTTTCCTTTTTTGTGATACTAGATTAAATCTGAATGAATTCCGTAATAAATATTAAAGAGTTTTAAACGCTCACATTAACTTGTGAAATTGTGAATGAAATCAAGTAACACAATTCTTCCAAGGAGCGATCTTCAAGGATCAGCTGACAAAGAAAGTTAAGTAATACCTCGACAGTTTTTACGATTTCCTCCATTTCCCTAAACAGGGATAAATATAATTCCTTTGAAAACCTTACATGTGCATTTACATATTTTTACGTATTCAATACCAATATTTACCCAAACACGTTTCTTGTGTAAGAGTATTCTGTATTGAATATGAAGGTTGTGCTCTTAACTCCATTCATACGAAAATTCTTTAAGGTAAAATTTGGGTCGCTCTGTGGTTACATATAAAGTGCTTTCTTAAATCATGTCAAGTCAAAATCATTTATTCATTTAGGTAACAAAGTTATTGACGTCGTTTAATAGATAATTTATTACATAATGCGTCACTAAGTACACTTATGAACGTCTATAAAGAAATAAATTTTAAATTCTAAATGCTTCTAGTTTTACATTTACTGCCAATTCTCAAATCAAGGGCGTAGAACGGACGAGAAGAACTGGCAATTAACTCTCCGCCACTCTTTTTAATCGCCAAGTTTTTTTTTTACAGAATGTTTGTAAGGAGCTGCAACCATTACACCATGTTCCATATGGTTCAGTAATTAATAGTTAAGAATAAAAAAAAAACAAAACAGAGATTCCTCTATCAGTAGTAGGCATGGTGAAATAGGAGCACGCACTTACATTGTCGTGGGAACAACACGCAAATCTATATCTTCCTCAGTGTTTATAGGCAAAATTATACTAAAAATTAAAAATCTTTCGCACTTTCATGATCAAAAATTTTCTTACTTGTTCGATTCTTTCCATAAATACAACGAAATATTGGTCTGTCTTTATACACAGCACTCATTCATTTTATGAAATTTACGTAGTGATAATATCGAGGTTTTAGTTCAGTCCTAAATAACTATTTAGTAGTCTCTTAGATTATTAGCTTTAGTGTTTAACAAAATAGTTAAAACTGGTGAACGTAATCGTCCTTTCTCAGTTAGATGTAGTGAATTGTAGATACTAAATACGTTAATATAGAAGAATAATAGAAATAAAAATTCTCTTTGATTTTTCTGTCATTATAAGTAATTTTTTGTGTTGTAGTTTCTAGCAAAGAGTGTATGTCAAAGTGAACGACAAGTCCATTTACAAAGAAATATATTTTCTCACATCGACACGATATTGAAAAATTGACTTTTAGAAACTACAATATATCTTACTCGATATTGGCGGAGAGCTTTTCGTTTTCATCCTATCAAAGAAGTTATGAAATATGATTTGCAGTATTTATAACATTTACGCTAAAAAAAATTTATATACACTAGTAAAACAAAAAACATTTAATCAATATAAAAATATGTATCAAATTCGCGCCATCTTTCGGCCACCAGAATTTTAAATGCCAAAACTCGATATATATAAATAATTTTATTTAAATCCACAATTATTAGTCACATAGTAAAAAATACAGTAGGTACTTCTCTCAAATAATACCCCTATGCCAAATGCTACTAATAAAAATCATATGAGAACTTTAACACAGCTTAAATATTATCGTCTTAAGATAGGAAAGTTCAATGAGATATCTTTATAGAAAATTAATAGACAAACTCTCCAAGTTAATCTTTAATGAACTATAAGAGTATAAATGACCTTTTAAAAAGGTTGTTACGGGTAGATGAGAATAGATTACCAAAGATCAAAGGTAAGGTCCACGATCGAAGCTTAGGGTCAGGAGATGTGTTAATACTATTTAATTATCTGTCCATACAGTCGAGTAAAATAATAGAAATGGTTATGAAGACTATTTTATTACTTAATGGCAAAGACGTTCTTTTATACTACTAATCAATAATACTCAACCAAATTTGTCATCAATAACATTTTCCCACAATTCTTTTGTTTCTGGCTAGTCTTTTAGCTTAGTTTAAATTAATTCAATAAAAATAACTATCTACTATAATTAAAAATAGGGGTTGATCGTATAGGGGTGAAAATTAAAGGTTGTATGTATTTTTGTAGACTGTACCATAAAAATACTTTTTCAAGAAAAATTAAAAAATAAATTTAGGGGTTGACCAATCTTAACATTTAGGGGGATGAAAAGTAGAAGTTGTCCGGTTCGCAGACCTAACCGATACGCACACAAAATTGCACGAAAATCGGTCGAGCCATTTCGGAGGACTTTAATTACAAACACCGTGGCTCAAGAATTTTATATATTTGATTAAAGATTTCTTCGCGAAAGATTTCTTACAGAAATGTTTCATATCATTTTTAAATTTCGTTCGTTAGAAAAATTTACAAATTATCTCTAGATTATCAAAAGAAAAAGTTTGTGCCGAGCAATATGTTAAGAAGAGAACATGAACTACGCACAAGAAATGGGTTGTAACAAATTTGGAATTCCGTAATCGTGTTGACCTCGGTACGTGGTTATTGCTTTCCACCGAAGTAATGGGAATACATTGAATGAGACAGGGTGCTTAAATACATATCATCCGATAATAACTAAAGATGATCGGAATTTTCGGATTATCGTTCTCGTACATACTATACATATAATATGACTTATTTAAAACGCCTTCGACGCCTCATCAAAGGAACAAATACAAATCAAAATGTTCGAAATAAGTAACCTTCTAAGTATTGATCTAATCCTAAAAATGAACAAATGTTTTATCATTATATAAAGCTATATTATAAACGCGATAGTTTGTAAGTATGGATGGATGTTTGTTACTCTTTCACGTAAAAACTACTAAATGGATTTTAATTTAACTTTACAATAATATAGCTTATATAATATACATCATAATAAAACATAGGCTATAATTTATAAAGATATTGTGCGAATTGTCTAAAATATCAAGTAAGTAGGAAAAATTCTACCATCTGCCAGCTATTCTGGCGTGCGCTGCCAAGAACGCTGAAGTTACACATATGTAATATATTATGGAAATATTTATCTTAAATAGTCTAACAAAAAAGTCCGCAACAGTATACATATATCTATGTCTGTATGTGTAAGCCATTATAGCCAAAATAGTGATATAAATATTGTATATATAGTAACATAATTTCTAAATGAAAATATATATTTTTATCGCTTCTGGTATTTAAAGTAGATAAAATATGTCTTTCACGCTACATCATTTAAACAAATATTATTTTAATCCCGCGCAGACGAAGTACAAAATAATTTAATCACGTTTTCGAAGTACATTATTATCTTTTTTTATCTAATCTCTTTTACACACAACTGACAATATATAATAATAGCCTTTATTGCTGTAAAATACTTATCCTAGTACATAAAAATGTGAGGTACTATAAATACTAATAATTAATCGGCAAACCGGTTAATTTCATAGGCCTCCTCTTAGAGCTTCGACTCTTCTCGGTGTCTAGCTTTACGTAGCCAAATAGGGCAAGCTGATCTACTTATATCATCTTCTCATGTCTTCCTCGTTTTCTTTTGTCACAACGAGGAAGTTATTCTGTCGCTTTTTTCAACTATTTATCTTTGTCTTCTCTGATAATGTGTCCTGCCCATTTCCATTTTAATAATATAAGAGACATAATTACGAAGCGAAATAATTCTTTGATATTCAAACAGACACTTTTTATATTTGCCTACTTTGTACCAAAAATATAAAGGATTATTTTACAAAAATATTTTTGTAAAATTTAGTTACTATTATTTTACAACAGAAAGTACTAGTTTATATTTTATAACAAATTGATATAAAACCGCAAAACGAGGAATTTAAAGATGTTATCTAGGTGTTTTGCGGCTCAAGCCGTTGCTGTCAAACCCACACACGCCTCTTATATTTTATAAACGACTCGGGCAAACTGAGGATATTATTATGCGAACAAAAATATCTAGATAAAAGAACCGCTATTGGGACCTAAATCATAATTCTGTCGCACTTGTCGCTTAACCCAGTCGTTTCAACATTTACATAAAAGTATTTATAATAATAAATTGTTTTCACCTTCAGAGCATTTTCTTATGCCTCTTTTTGTTTCAGGTCTGACCTCTAAAGAATATGAGACATCAGAAAAGTGTTCAGCGAAGTAATTTCAACTCCGATAAAAAAAAGGCTGAGAATAAAACGACATCAACAATTATCTTGGATTATATCGCCTGTAAAGAAAATGGAATTCACAATTCGGTTGCCTCACGATGTACTAGGAAAAAACTCGGGCACAAACGCTAATTATACGAAAATATTTTTAGACAACATCAATATTGCTACGTGAAATGGAGTAGGAGAATTAACAAAATGGGTCTGACGAACACGCACGTTTATAATAATTACACTTTATCAAATACCACCCAGGCCAACGATATAATTGAGTTAGATAAAGATGACTGTGCGGTCGCTGATGACCCTAAATATCCCAGTAGCTTGGGAATAACACTGGCTGTTCCAGAATGGGAAGCTATTTGCACGGCCATTGTATTAACACTCATTATTATTTCCACTATAGTAGGAAACATTCTCGTAATTTTAAGCGTGTTCACTTATAAGCCACTCCGAATAGTTCAAAATTTCTTCATTGTATCGCTGGCCGTAGCTGATTTAACGGTAGCAATTTTAGTCCTACCACTTAATGTCGCTTACTCGATTCTAGGACAATGGGTGTTTGGAATTTATGTGTGCAAAATGTGGTTGACCTGCGACATAATGTGCTGCACGTCATCGATTTTGAACCTTTGTGCGATCGCTTTGGACAGATATTGGGCAATTACTGACCCTATAAATTACGCCCAAAAGAGAACGTTAGAAAGAGTGCTCCTAATGATCGGAGTCGTGTGGATCTTGTCCCTCATCATTAGCTCTCCACCGTTATTAGGGTGGAACGATTGGCCCGAAGTGTTCGAGCCTGACACGCCCTGTCGTTTAACATCTCAACCTGGTTTTGTAATATTTTCATCTTCCGGGTCCTTCTACATTCCTTTGGTAATAATGACGGTTGTGTATTTTGAAATTTATTTAGCTACGAAAAAGAGACTCAGAGACCGTGCTAAAGCCACTAAGATAAGCACCATATCTACCGGCAAAAACAAGTTTGCAGCTAAGGACAGTGACCCTCATGATCAGGACTCGGTGAGTTCAGAGGCTAACCATAATGAACATCAGGGCGTAACGCGGCTTGTATCTGATAATGAAAAAAAGAAAAAGCCGAGAAAGTCAACACCCAAAAAGAAACCGAAACGGAGGTATTGGAGTAAAGACGACAAGTCACAAAATAAATTAATCGTACCGATTCTGTCCAACGAAAACTCTGTGAGTGACATGATTGATAATCCAGAAAATCGCCATACGTCCTCAGAGAGCAACTCTAAAGAGACACACGATGAAGACTTAGAAGTCATGCAATCTGGTTCCACTAAGTCCCAGAAACGTATACGACCTAATCAACAAAACACTGTATATCAGTTCATTGAAGAGAAGCAACGTATCTCATTAACGCGAGAGCGTCGTGCTGCCAGAACGCTTGGTATTATAATGGGCGTTTTCGTTGTTTGTTGGCTTCCATTCTTCGTCTTATATCTTGTGATACCGTTTTGTTCGAGCTGTTGTTTATCAAACAAGTTCACGAACTTTGTAACTTGGCTCGGATATGTAAATTCAGCGCTAAACCCTCTTATATATACGATATTTAATATGGACTTCAGACGGGCGTTTAAAAAATTGCTTTGTATAAAGTCGTAAGCTGTGCCAATTGTAAATAATTCTTTACTTGCTCAAAATAAGAGTTTTCAACTGTAGGTGGTTAAATGTTTACTAGACGGTTACTATGTAAATTCTAACAAAAAATATTACATTGGTAGATATTAAATTTTCTCTATATATGTATGTATGTTATATATATTAGTCATGCATAGAATGCAACTTAGATGATTGTAACATTAATTCCTTTCAAATAAGAATATCAACGATTAAAACATAAGATAAATATTAAATGTAAATATCAGTATTTAACTGTACATATCTTGACTTATATATTAGTAATTACGTAGTATACGTCTATCTAGTCAAAATTATGTCACTTAGATACTTTTAAAGTTTGTAGCCGTTAAGTTCCAAACATGAAGTTTTAGGTATATTTTTTATGTATATCCCTTTGAAATAATGTGAGCCCTTATTTAAAAGGGATATTAAAGTTACAAAGTTTATGTTTGTTATTCTGACTTATTTTATAATAAAATATTAATTTAATTTGCCTTTTTTTAATAACGTTAACCTAGTACATTGTTTCTCAAAGTGAAACCCACGCCTCACAGGGGGGCAATTCGAAAATGGACTCGACGTTTTTCATTATATGTTTTGGAAAATTTCTTACTGTATTTCTTAGTGAAACTATGTTACATGTCTGAAGTAGGTCATAGCACAAAAAAGGTTGGAAAACACTGATCTAGTAGGTCAACTTAACTGTTTTAACTTAAACACTATTCAGTCCCTTTCTTTCATATCTTAACATAATTTATCAGAAAGAGATAATTGAGTACTAAGTTAACGAATGATATAACACTGATTTATAGGGGTGTGTATTATATGATGGAAAATACACCAAAACCATGGTAACCATGGTAGTTTAAAATATAAAAAAAATCGCACAGTTTTAACAAAAGTTTTATTATTTCTCTTTCTGTCCAATTGTGTTTACGCTGTAAAGAAAAGGGGCAAATGGAATCAGACCAACTGATTTTCTTGAATAAGGGGAAGTCTTTGTAAGTATTGTATTTTATTAAAGGAATTCTGACATTGACATAACTATTATCCTCTAAGTTTGTCCGGAGAATACTTGAAATTTAATTTGCACAAGTATGCTTTGAATTTTGGTTCAGTATATTTTACTCACATGAAATATTTTAGCAACGAATATGAAATTCAGGTTAATATTAACTTGTTCATATAGAGCTGCTTTATATGTAATATTTGTGTAGAATAAATTTGCAAAAGCTCAGAAAGAAATTTTTATTACAATTTTGTTTAAATATGGTAAAAGATAAGTATTAATTTATCTTTCTGGGTGTATCACTTAAATCCTAAATTATTTTTTTTATATATTACGAATAACTTAAGACGTAAATTAATTTGAATTGTGTATAGAATACGAAGATTGGCACGCTCAATAGCTCAAAGTGCATATTTATATACTGAAAGAAGTTTCCGTTCTTAAGCCAACGATTATACGAAATAATACAATCTAATTTCTTGATTACATACATTGCTCGTAACGGAGTATGAAGCTGAAACAGTATCCATTTTGTTTTATTATTATTTTAATTTATTGAAAATCAGACGCTCAACATTCTTTGTCTTCGTTGGGTTTCCCAAGATTTGATTACGTAATATTATCCAAGAGGCGGTACACAAAACAATACACTTAAGCCTTAAATTAAATAAAGTTGCAGTTAATTTATATTCTAAAGTTAATTCACTTTAGAAGACAGAATTAACCATGAAGCTCTGCTGTGGCTTTTGTCTTAAGTCCACGATTTAATCAGTTATACGAGCAAAGTAAGCTCGAGACATGCATTTCTTTCCATCCTAATCCTTTCTCAGGCTAGTTGGGTTAAAAGTTAATTTATAAACTGTAGTTTGAGAAAGAAAATTAAATAAGACCTTATACTATGGGATTTATTTACAGAACTAAGACAGATTTCTGCTGCCGGCCTTTTAAGAGTTGGCACGCTCTTTTCTTGAAGGACCCTTAGTCGAATTGGTTCGGAAATACTTCAGTGGGCAGCTGGTTCCACATAGTGGTGGTGCTTGGCAGAAATTGCCTTAAGGATCGCTCTGTTGTGGAACGACGGACGTCAAGGTGACGCAGCAGGCTGCAGGTATTAGTCCGAACAACTCCTCTGAACACTCTCCATGGAGGAAAGTGACTGGTCACGACGATTCGAATTGCTCTCCGTTGAATACGGTCAAGCGGAAGGAGCTGGTACTGGGGAGATCTTATAATATCTATATAGACAAGTTAATTTGTGCAGAATTCTTAATAAACGTTATTTATTTTGCGTTTTACAAAATTTAACTTTAAATAATTTATTATAATAAATCAGATAAATATACTTCAGAACACAAAAATGAGTTGCTTGCATTCTAGCTCTAAATTTTTTATTTAAACAATAAAATATTCATTCAGAATTCTGTCAAATAATAGTGCGTTTACCATTAAGCTTATTTTTCATAATTAATAAAATATTTTTGCTTTTATATATAATCTCAACAGTCTCTTTCCGTTGTTATCCCAATTAATCGCGAATTCTCTCCAAAAACGGCAAAGGCACATTTGTATTCAAATAATAAATAACCATTGTTCAAGCATAGACCAATTACTAAATACAATGGAAAACAAGAGTTCTTTTTAAAATTCACAGGTGCTCAACGTTGAGTAGGTATGTTATTAGTTGAACCCTCGTAGGTATTGTATAGCTTTAAATATAGTATTCATAACAGATGATTTTTAAATAAAGCCTTAACGGGTTATTTATTTTGTTATATTATTTACGTAACTCGACATTATCTACGATGACGTTGAATGTGTAATACTCAATACGTTTCAGGTATTTCTCATTTTTATAGGATAGAGGAGCAAACGAGCCTACGGGATGCACAAAAAGGCAGTCATCACAGCCCATGGACAACTCATATTAGCGGGTGCTTTGCCGGCCTTTGGATTTTACTATTTAAATTATTGATTTACAATACAAAGCCAAAAATACGTATAAAAATAGATACGAAAAGACCATAAATTCACAAAAATATATTTCACAGCACGCAATATATAACATAACTAAGTCGTTCAATATTAACATATAAATACATTTTAAATATACAGTATTCTAACACATATACATAGCTATCGTTACGAATATAATTCGCGAAGTATTTGTATCATTGAGAAATGGTACAAGAAATTATAAACAAGTAATTAGAATACAACCAATAGTTAGTCATACTTTGAAGCAGAAATAAGGTAATTAAGGTAGAAATAAAATATTTATGATTTTAAAAGCTACAAAGAGACTTGACTAGGTATTTTAAAGTTTACAAGACGTAACTGAATCTGATGTCTATATCCGTCTATATGTCTAGCAAGTTAACATTCAGCTATGATAAAAATAGCATGGTTTCCCAAATATATCTGTCCCATACTATTATTATTAGAGGTATTACGGGGCTTAGGCAAAATTAGGTTTATAATATTTGCAAATTGTTTATTTTAAAAATGGTCAAAAATGTTAAAAAAGGTGTAAGTTAGATTGTTGTAATAATTTACGGCGGCGAGATTGATAGGGGCACAACGTGACGCCGGGTCCGTCTCCGAAGTGAAGATTAATGACTATTGGAGGCTTTACAACACTGATAACAGATGATTCTATAACAAATACTTGCAGGCCTTTGGTATAACCGTTTTAGCTTTCTTGGTCACGTACTATAAGGGACATTTATTTACTTCACTATACTTTAAAAAAAAAAGAAAATACCGGTTCTACTAGCAGGTACTTCCAGCATTGTGACTATATACCACAAACACAAATAATTGCATTCGAAATCATAGTCGTAACTTAATTTGTCAAAGTTTAATTTAAATGTGAAGTACTCGTGTGAATATGAGACAATATTAAAGCATGCGTTCTCAAACTAAAGGAACAACAACTGTTTCTACTAGTCGGGCACGTGACTGATTACTTCCTGTCAAGAATAATAATTAGTGAAATAGGCATAATGTTCCTGTCTATATCCGTAGAAGGTTGCGTTAATTAACTTTTACTCTGTCGCTACGTATTGTTTTCGTGGAGTTTTAGTGGTTCATGCCAATCACATTTATATATGGTAAGATTTTGTTAGGATAACATTTCAAATTGAACATAAAACAAAAGTACTTTTTTACCTTACCAACTTACAACCAATAGCCGAAGTTGCACTATCAGTTTTTTTTTTAATTAAGCGATATACTAAATCATTAATGCTGACAAAATATCGAGAAAAGGAAAAAATCTCTATTTAAGATATAATTTACATTATCAATAAAAACTACCGGTGCTCAAACAAAGAAATAACCTAAGTACTTGATGGATGAAAATACTTCATGTTATTGCTGGTTGATTGGCAAATTGACCCTTCCTTTTTGCATATTGTGAGCTGTAAAACGTGACTGCATTCGGAAAGTTTTTGGACACCGTACATCAAACTATCAAAGGCTTCGAGGGATTTCGATTAGATTAAAAACCTTTTCCAATTTTATTTGCGAAAGCTCTCAGTGTTTGTAAACTTTTAAATTTCAGATGGGATTGTTTTAAGGGAAGCCTTTTATTTTAAACTCAAAAAACATCGTTCGAATTGTTTGTGTCTGTACCGCTGTTAACGTAGCTAACTTGTAGTAAGTTACTTCGAAGTCATGTACTAGATATATATCCAAACGTAATCTTATAAATAAATTATTTCATAAAAGGAAAAAGAGCAGTAGGTACGTCTAGCGTTTGCTTTTCAACCGTCGTTGGTTCTAGTTATGCACCAATATCTTTATAAGTAACCCATGTCTAAGACGCATAATATCATCAGAAAACCGGCATGCTTTAGACCCACCGGTACTGTATTACTCCCATTAGCTAGCTGGGTAAGATATATATATCTTCAAAGGTGAGACGACGTCTCATATTATTTTCATTTAAAATGTTATTAAGTATAGCACAGAAACTCACAAATAAAACATACTGATTAACTCAAATAAAAAGCTAAAACGGACAAAAGTCGTAAAAAAAGTTAAATGAACATTAATACTAATGATGTTTGCGTAACACTCAACGTCGTACATCTTGAGATGTTAATTCAAATATACAGGTAACAAGATTATTAACACGGCGTTTTTGTAAGCTCGTGATTATACAGTGAGATAATTCTTAGGTAAGGGTCATTTTTTATATTACTTTATTGAGTTAGCTGCTTTAATTTATCGTTGGAGATATATTAACTATAATGTCGATAAAAAAACTAGTGGCACAGAGCTTGGACTCTGATTTTTAAAGCTGCTTATTTTTTTAATAGGCAAGTAGGTAAGCTTTCTTTGTTGACACTCGCCGTCGATTTTTGGGTCAAAGGGTCTTTAGCGTACGATATTTTCCTTTATTGAATGATTAAATGTTGCGGACCTGGAAAGTGATTCGAACGTACGAACTTATGGGTCCAGACTCGCACGCTTTCGCCATTAAGCCAACACTCTACAAATCAACCTAATATAAATAATGTAGCTCATTTGACTTATATGTAATTTAAACTATCTTGATTTTAAGTAGTTTCTTAATTCCCACCCATAACACAAGCTTCACCAGCTTAGCATGGGATTAGGTCAATTGGTGTGAATTGTCCAATAATATTTAAAAAAAAAAATCACTTAATATAATATATACACACATTGTCTTAGTAACTAAACTGGTACTTTTTATTATTTACTAAGTGGAAACTAGTTTCAATAACTAATGTTTATTTCTCTTTAACCTTATGTTACATTTGAAGCTAAGAATTGGTTTGCCTCAGCATTTACAATGAAGTCTGTTAGTATTCACATTAAATTAATACAGATTTCTTTAATACAACCCCGATGTATTGTAGTTTATTAAATACATGTTGAAAATTAAAATATATTTTAATTTCAAGCTAAATGCTTTTAAGTTGATAATATTTATATAAACTTATTAAATTGTTCGAATATAAAACCACTTTGAATAAGAAATGTTTATCGTAATTACAACATTATTAATTTATTTTAATTATAAATTTATAACATTAGAGCAGGCCAATTCTCAATCCCGAAGTCATATGTTCAAATCCACGCCAAACCCACTTTTTATATCCACAAACAACACTGGCTCGATCAATAAAGAGAAATCAACGAATGTAAGACCTAGAAATTGACCTTGCTTAAAGATGAAATATCAATGGAACAAACACCCTTTTAGAACTTAACATTAAACGGGACTTTATTCAAAATGTAATTATAACAAACATTATATTATAATTTCCTAAAATTGTAGACATCGAAAAACTTAATCCGCAATAACGTTTCGTTTCACTAATGGAACCACAACAAAACCAATTCCTATAAATCTAGTCTAAAAACTAATCTAAAAATTTCCAAGCAGCAATGATTTATGTTACAGCTTAGACCGAAATTGAGGTTTTGAATTTAGCGCCGAACAAATTGAGAAACAATAGTATGTAACTTGGTACAAGTATAATGTTTTATGACGTATAAAACACGACATTCATCGCATTGATTTACGAAGATGAGCCAAGTTTACATAGTAAATTGTATTGTTTGTTCAATAAATATAGCTCGCTACTCGAACATACTAAAATTGCAAAGTGGTGTTTTTGATCAAAATACAATATTTAAATAACATATAATATGAATAATAACAACAGTCAATACCGTTAAAGAGGTAGGCACTAAAACACATTATTCACTTCTGACCGATTAATCTTCCATCTTTATACGTCCAAAGTAAGGGCGAATTCACTAATGCACATCTATTAAATATCAATCATTGGGAAAACACAAATCACCAACTTTTTCATATCCCGCCGGACAGTCGTCTGGTTGGCCGAATCTTACATCTATATCGTAAATAGTGCTCACATTATCACTGTCCTCTTGATAATTACGTTCGTGAGTCTCATTGTAATTAGTTGGTCCTTCGAAAACTATAGCTTCCGGGTCGTGGTAAAATGGATAGTACGCAATGTTACGCGGATTCACAACAACTAATAAATACATCATTAAGAGCGCAGACAACCTTTCCATCATGTGCGAATGTGATGACGAAATGTACGCAAGACTTGCTCGCGCCTTTTATAGCGTCACTACTAGTGACAGTACTGGGTTATTCTCAAACAATATAACTAATGTATCATTAAATATATAAAAAAATTGGATTGATCATTATATCATGAATAATAGGTTGTTATGCGAATGGTTTGCTGTCGGCTCTAATATTTATTAACTTCAAACAGACTGCTTACATATTACTAAAACTCGTAAAAATATTAGGCAGCAATAATGTTTAAATTACAAATGTAGCTTGCATGGTATTCTAAATGTATATACCGCAATATAAAGAAAAACGCATTGAATTGGTGTTTTTTCATTTTATTAATGAATTGCTACAGAATAAGGTTCTAGTGAGGTTATTCCCCGGACCGGTTAATCTACATACCCCACTTACGTGGCAAGACAAATAAAATCCCGTAACAAAAGCCTCTTAAATAGTGTATAATTTTTTGAGAGATTAGCTCAAATAAGGTTGCCTAAAACGGCTGACCCTTTTAGACCATATGTCATAGAGATTAATTCTACAATAATTAACTTTATAAACTAGTTATGTGTTTAATAGAACAATTCTCATTTAGGTAATACGTTTAGGTCAAAGTACGTAGTTGTTATCTGGAATGAACGTTTATAATATCGTTAATAATAAAGTTTTCACTGAAATTTATTATACATGAATAGAGCAATACAAATTAAATGAATTAATGTTACTTTATTTGAATGTATTGCGAACACTAATTTCACGTTTGAAGAGTGTTTTTTTTATGCCGTTAATGTAAAGGTACTCGTATGTAATTTTACCGTGAGAGAGGTTTTGATGACTTAAATATTTATAGCCCTTTACGTTGTTTACTAGTACTAGTACATTTGAACTGTCCAAAAGAAATAATCAATTAAACCACTGGGAACACGGGAGTGCGTCAGCCAAGTCGAGCAAAAAAGGGGCTCGGTCGTACCCTTTTCTGGAAGCAGTTCGGACTATTTTCAACCCTCCTATAACTTCGTTGTGGATAAAATTAGAAGCCGGATTTCAGTTACCAAGCAGGTATTATATCAACATGGTATATTTTAAATTTCATTGAATTTGAACACTGGTTTATTATAATTATAACTCAAATTTCTCAATTTTGTCCCTAACTCACTGACTGACCGATCATCGAAACTCGGCACTTGTAGCAGACATATAATACAATTAGTGTTTAGAGTAGAAAAAATTAAAGTATTTTGGATTTTCGATCCGGTTTTTTTAGTTATACCAACTGCATAAATAACTATAACTAAACTATAGTAATCCTATATATTTATATGGGATTACAAACTTATTAATGCAGTGCCTGAATGGTACCCAAATTAAATAGTGGGTATAATAATTTAAATAATGTTTATAAAAATCTAATTCTATAGAGATTTGGAAAAACTTTGAGTGCGGCAGTGTACAGCATTAGTTCAAGTTAATCCTCTGTTAAGCTTGATTGTCTTCTGTTAGGTTTTTAGTGTATTTATAGTGCGTTAGTGAAAGTATTTATAGTGAATGAGAGATAACAATTTTACAAAATGATTAACTTAACTGACGTTTGACGAGTGCGTCACTAAATATTACTAAGTAATTAAACTAAAAGTAAAAAATGCTGACTGTTGCCATGCTAGCCAGGTACGTGCGTATGCTTCGTAAATAACAGCAGCGAGCCCACAAGGGATTTCCCCCGACCGAGCGTCTCGCTGTTCGGATGTGCCTAGAAATGTTAATAATAATATCAATATTACAAATATTTTTAAGTTTTAAAAGATGTTGTTAGGTTAGCTAATTACGTAATAACTTAACACAGAAGGTCCCTAAAGAAGGAACTGAATGAATCAACCGACTTGGTGTTACATCTATCTCACAACTTTTTACGATAGAAGAACTGCGTTGCGAAACTTTTTTTTACAAGTTATGTTTATGATGCCATTATTTTAGACATATTGGTTCAACGGCTTAAGTGAAATTCTTAGTAATGAATTAACGCTTAGTATTACGAAATCTAATACGTTTTTGCCACACGGGAGTAAGTTCCGGCTAAGAAGCTTACCATAGGTGTTTAAATTATTATAATCCCTGGCAAACCAATTATTTGGAACAACTTAATTGCTTCATTGCGCGTAAGAACTGAATCTTGCCTGCCTAATGGTCGCAGACCAGTATCGCTGGATCGACAGAGTAGAGGAGGACATGCTGCAGAAGCCAGCAATTGGCACCTGGCACAGGCCAATACACTTTTTGGGTCGCAGAGGCAGCGGAGTGAGTGAGTGAGTGTGACAGGCCTAGGATCACGGAATTAATTAAACAGACGCAGAAATATGTTTGTCCCATGCGAAAATGAGTTATGTAGGCATTTGATTAATTGTAATACAAGCTAGTAAAATAATGTTACTAAAATGACTCGACTTATTTGAGATACATTCACTATGATTAATTTCTATAAAATGTGGATAAATTGCAAAATATGATTTGTAGGCCCTGATTTAGGTTAAGAAGCCGGAAATATAAATGTCAAATGCAAGGTCTTATAAACCGGATCTCATTCGTTTCGAAACAATATCACATTCATAATTTATGAGTACACAAGTATGTACTATAATATACAATATATGCTTAATAGCAATATACCGCTTGTGTATGTGGAGGAAGAAAGGTGCTGCTCTTCCTCCGACTCAAAGGGCATCCTCACCAATCTAACCACTGATTGATTGGCGCGAAGGCCTTAATGGCTAAGGTCGTATGTATTAGTCGGTGTTATTCCTTTCCTTCCTGTCATAGCTTCCGTCCTTCCCTTCAGGCGATTGGCCCAAGCCCAGGTCCGAGTCTCACAGGAGGCGCCCTTGCGCTAGCCGCGGGAAAAACGCCCATTCAGGCCGAGCTACGCTCGCCAAAACAGCCCGAGCTGAGCTGTAAAGGCCCTTAAGGCCAACAGCGAGATTCCTTTCAAAAAAAAAACACCTTCCTGTTAGTCTTTCCTTTCAGTCCTTTGCGGTTGGGATAACTTTACTGGCGCGATTCAGGGTATGACGTCATTGGAGTGATTGTATTTGTATGTAGGTGTCGCTACAAGTATTTAATATAATAATGTTATTACGATATCGGGCCCTCACAGATGCGCTTTCAGAGTTTTTGTATTAGTACCTAAATAATGCTCCGAACATTATAATTTATAGGTGTATTAAGAGACCTTGTAATATTTAATACCTACCTAATAATACGTTCATTACTCAGGACAAACAATCCATAAAATGCTTGCTAAACCTAATAACACGTAATTTAGCGTATAAGGCATAAAATTTTTGAATAACTTCATTAAGTCTTCGAAAATAACGGGCAATATAAAGAAAATATGTATTTAAATTAACTAATTCCGTTAAGATTCCATCTAAAAATTGCCACTATCAAGGGAGAGACCGTGACGTTGGAAATCTGATACAATCTCTTGTAAATAAACCTCTAACATATTCTACCCACGTGTCCACTGATAGCTTTTTGGGTCCTAAATGACAAGTATTGGCTTTTTTTTATAAATCATTATTATATTACCCAGTAATATAACAAGAGAAATGTCAATGTCTTGGACTGTATATACAATATTGCTTTAAAACGGAGCAAGCGAACTCAAAGGACAGTTAATTTAAATAAACTTTTTTGATGACTCATCAATTTTTAATTACGATCGGCTTAAAAAGTAGCTCTAGGGGTAAAAGCTAGCAACGTATTTGGTGGATAGAAACCATCAAACGAAACTTTGTTTTCTTCAATTTGGTTTGTTGCAATTAAATAAGATTCAGAGAAGTTGTATCGTTCCGATCTGAAAATTCATCCATTTGACAGCTGGAAGAATGTATTCACACTTAAAAACTAACCTTTAAGTATATTCAAAATTGTTAGAGAATAATATTATTAGGAATATCCTGAGATACCTTTTTTGATTCCGCACTTCCCAGGCATGAATATTCTAAAAAACCTGCCACATAGGACAAGAGAAATTGTAATCAACCAGACTCTCTCCTGACGATCAATGGATATGAGGTGAATATGTCATGCTCTAGAGCTGCTTAATATTCTACAGTATTGCATGATATGACCCCAGTGTAACATTATGTAAAATTGCAAACATTAGCTCGAGTTAGTCTCACTTAAGCACTGACTTAGGATTGGAATTAAATTATTCAAATTTTATTGCTGTCAATATCTAGGCAGTTAAACAAGTTTAAATCATGGTCCTAATTATAAATATATTTAAAAACATACAAAAATTTGGTTGTCTGTAAAGTCAGCTTAAATAAATCAGTGGATAGATATCTGTATCTGTTTCATAATCATTTGTTAATCTAATAGGAATGTAGGTGATCAGCCTCCTGTGCCTGACACACCATTGACGTTTTCGGTCTAAGGCAAGCCGGTTCCTCACGATGTTTTCCTTCACCTTGTCTCTTTTCCTCGGACGCATCGGCCGATGTAGCGGTAGAGAGATAAATGCGTCACAAGCTAAACGCTTAGGCTGCTGCCTCGAATTTTGCGGGCAGCGGGGCGGCAGCGGCGGCGGCGTGGGAGCGGCAGGATCTTATGCGTACAATCAAATGGACCGGTTCTCAAAAACAGCGGCGTGGCAGCGGCGCGAGGCCGGGTAACGAGAGGTGCAATCGCCCGCTCCCGCGCCGCAGCCGCCGCCGCCCCGCTGCCCGCAAAATTCGAGGCAGCAGCCTTAGGCCGATTGTGCCTCTCTATCGATTGTTGCGCGCTCTCGCTTGCACGCTCACCTCAGGCGGAACGTGACAAAGAGTCATGATTTTTCGTGAGTGCAGCCGGCGTTCATCGATTTATAAGACGTTATCACGTCAAAAATAGACAACAACAAATAATTTAGACTGATAAATTTCTTTTACAAATATTGTTGTTACAAATTTTGCAAGTGTTCTTTCCCAAACTAAGATAACACTGTAGTCGGTTA